TGTGTGTGTGTGTGTGTGTGTGTGGTAGCAGAAGTGTTGTGCAGGGGCACAGCTCCTCTGTAGGGGTGCACACCCCTCTGTAAATCACAATTTCCCTTTTCCATGACATCATGGAGAGGTTATCGCTCAAAGCAGCAGTGACCTGACACGAGTCGATGGTACCATTGTTACAGGAGTTTGGGTCAACTTGATGTATTTAAGCAACTTAGATATAAGCTGCTTGATCCATAGTGTAAATCAGTAAACAACAGTGTGATGGTATAATCTTTGCTTTGTACAGCCACACGGCATCGATAGTTTATATTATTCTGAACACTTTATTCATTTTAAAACATAACAACAATCTAATAACACATTTTTGAGGATTGTGTGATGATTGAAATATATAAAGTTTTGGCGCTGTCACTGTTTTGAAGTTGGCTACCAACAAACACATTTTAAAAAACGTCACCCAGTCCTGGTGAAGAATGATGTGAATGAACTTGCTCACAGTGAATGATTTGGTCACACACGCTAGAGCTTCTTAATGGGGATTGTGACTGTAATCCACAATTTTTTTATAGTGCAACACACGTAGGCAACAGAGTAAATAGAAGTCAGTCAAAAGTTTGTTGGCAGTTTAGGGAACGTGCTGGTGATCAGTGTGACAACTTCAAACATCAAATATCAAGCCCCTTATGTCAACTATATAAAATGCTTTGACCAGCAAACAATAAGCAAAGTATTTAACCACTAATGGCCGGCACTTTGCTCAACAGTTGGTTTGCACAATCTTTGGAAGATTCCACGGCCTTATCTCATGTTTCACAAACCAGGAGAATGTGCAAAGTGTGAGCGAGGGAAAGAGGTGTGGTCAGATATTAGGAGTTGCAAGCTCTTGTCCTTTATCAGCTGAGGATCAGTCGGTCCTAATCATTAACTTCAGGTTAACATACCGACCCGGCAAGTGTTTGAATGAAACAAGAGATTGCCTATTTGAATTGTAAAGAGGCGAATGAGCAGCTCTTCTTTAAATGCAGGTGCTGCAGCATGTCCAGCAGGGCACAGGCAGAGCTGTGAGGAGACCTGTAGATAACAGGGGGTGATTACATGTCCTTTTTTTTTTTTTTACAGCATCTGTGTATCTGCTCCTCAGCTGCTGAAGTTTTGTGGCTGCAAATAATATAAAATATGAGTGATTTGCATTTCAGAACATGTGTCGATAAAGAAAATTAAATGTAAAGATATTTGTCTCTGTTTTGTGTGCGAGTGATTTTTGTTTTAACAACATCAGTATTCACACTCAATAGAGAATAAGTTTAGTTGAAGGTTGGGTCCAGGTTTGAGTGCTGGATGTGAATGTCAGAGTCACTTTGCTGCTGTTTCTAGATCGGCCTCTTCACCTCAGAGGCTGCCTTTTGCTAATTCTCCCCTCCGACATTCCAGTAACAGGTATTACATTTGAAGGGCCGTGAGTGAAACTGACAGCTTGTTTGCAGGCAGGATTATCAGCATTGCTTGGGGACAGGCCCGACAGTGAGGGAGCGGAATCTGCGTCATATGTTGTGAGGACCAAATCTGCTTAACCTACTTTAGCTTTGCACAAAATATCTTGGACCTGCTGGACGGCAGCACTCTGCGATCCAAGTTGTTATTCATCAAATTTTCAGTGCGGACAAATTATTAAAGGGTGTGAGAGGGAAGTGAAAAGCTTCATTATCTCAAGCGACTTCTCTAAGGAAGAAAAGAATCTGATTTGTCTCTGTATTTAGTGAAACACACAACATGTAGTCTGTGTTGTTTGCACAAACACTTAAAATAGTCCAAAAAGAGATTTTACCACTTCAGGATGATGCTCAGTTTTGTTTCTCTTTTAGTTGTATCATTTAATTTTACTTATATTTATCCTGTCCTTGTTTTACAGTAATACCCACATTTCCTTCATGATGATCAATGAAGAATAATTAGGGCGGATGAAGGATTTCTCTGAATCAGGGGCCACAATTTACACAAAGGGGCAAGCCACATATTCAACATCCACAATTCCTGATTCGCTGAGGTGCACATATCATTTCTTGTTTACTTTTGGCTCTATGGCTTTGAGCAAACAATATTTTTTATATTAATCTGCCTAATAACTATTTCTGTCAGGTGGAGTAGTACTGTACTTACCTCTGAAATGTAGTGGAGTAGAAGTATAAGGTGGCATGAAATGAGGATATTCACGTTAAATACATTTACTTTAAATTGTACTTACAGTACATGAACGTAGTTACAATCACCTGCTTGAAACAAATACAGAGTTTAGATTCAACAACTCAGCAGCAGTGGTTTGACCGGTCAGGAGGGATCTTTCCATCTCTCCTTTGTTTTCAGGAACTTTTTTCTAAGCAGCATTCTATTCAACTCTGCACTTTTTTCCCCCCCTGAAGTCCAAGGACATTAAGATGTGCTCAGAATATCAAGCAGTCCTCTTGGTTGTACCTCAAAAGGATAATTTGGTGATGGATTGCACCAAGTTAAGTGTTACACCTGCCACCCTGCGTCCGTTCAGATTCATAGCCAGCGCTCTGCGAGTAACTAGCTACTGTATGAGCTGGTGAAATACCAGAGCTGGCAGAAATGTGAGGGCAACATGGCAACAAAACCAGGGAGATTTTTAAACTCAAAGGGGCCCCTGCTACCCTTTAAAGCTCTGTGTGACGAGAAAGTTAATGGTGTCAGAGTGCTGTTAATATTTAACGGTTTCCCATGCAATATGCATGAACAAAGGTAACAATGTGTGTGAAAATGTTCCTAATTAACACAACTGCTTCCTTTTTACAAGCACTAACATGTTACTGAGACGCACAGCAAATTATTTGAGTGTCTCTCCTCAGGACTTGAATTCTGAGGCCACCGGACTCTTAAGTGCACAGAGTGTGTGTGTGTGGGTGTGTGTGTGTGTGTGTGTGTGTGTATTTATGTTGTTGACGATGTTGTTCCCTCCGTCCACAGATTATACGGAGGAGCTGACGTGTGTCATGGCCAGTTTGGACCTGCAGGTTCTCATACACACAGTTCTGTGTTATCATTACCTTCCAACCAAGCAGCCTAGCCCAGGGATCTGACCGCGCCTCCCCTCCCTCTCCCCCCTCCCTCCCTCTCCCCTGGGTGTCCCTCAATCCTGCCCACCATGGGAGGATGCTTCTCCAAACCCAAACCAGGTAACCAAGACATTTATATCTCTCTCAGTCTGGTTAATTTAGTCAAACACCAAACAAGCACCCTTGCAGCCTGTGTGGAGAAAAAAAAATACTATACTGTCTAACAGTTAACATGGAGTTTAAAAAGGTGCTGCCACACCTGTATGGCCAGTGTTGTTGTGGATTGTGTAGAAAATTCTGTGATCAGTAAGACATGTTTACGTCAGTGAACTGTATGAGTCTCTAATGCGTTACATGACACCTCTTCATATTCATAACTTCATAAACTCATCTTGTTCAAAATCATTCATTTGGACAACAGATGTTTGCAAGACAATAACATGACAACATCCTATCAACACAGTGTGAAAGTCTAGATTACCAAACCCTAATTTACAGGCATAGTTTGCAAACTATGAACCTCAGTTGTACCGTCCACTGTTGGATGAAAGTCTGGTGAATTGTACATATGGAGATTGCTGAGGTTTGAGTTATCTATATATATATATTGTGTTATATATCAGTTTTTATTGAAATGTCAGTAGCTGAAGTCCAGAGAAAAGCCTTAAATAGTGCAAAGGTTAGAAATAAACTGGCCAAAGAATAAAAGAACTAGGTCATCACATATATATTTTGTTTTCTTGGTAACATTTGAAAAATGTTTGAAAAAAACAACATTTGGAGACAGTTTGTTCAGTTGACTCCTTTTCAAAGCTACCGGCTGCCTCCAAATCCTGTTAAACGTGTCCTCTCAGCCGCCTCTGTTTGCAGTATAGGACTTTATGTGGGAGGAATTTTTATGCTCTCTGGATCATCTTTGGTCAAGAGGATTACAAACTGAGACATGAATATCAAATTGTGAAGCTGTTTGTGTGGATCCATGTCAGTGTTTACATGAGAGATTAGCTATCAGGTCTTATTGCAGTCCTGCAGGTGATAGTGGGCACGAGGAGCTGCATGTTCATAGAGTCTGAGATCAAATCATCATCACGTGGAGGTGAAGAGAGAAAGATGAAGGACCTGGTGTCTGTGTACAGATGATAGGACAGAGGCTGCTGACTGTCAGGCCTACGATTCTGTGTCAGTCTGTATTTATCACAGTGTGACCCTCAGCTACTGACTGTCTGTGGCTAATCAAACAGTTCAAATGGTCTTAAACACAGAGATTCTACAGATTGTCTTTATGTTTGATTGATTCACACAAGGAATCTCTGAATAGTCATAAATTGTTAAATGAGCCACTAACACCAACACAAAGTTCATTTTCTCTTGTTGTCCTGTTAAAACTCTGGTGAGAGAAACAGTGAAAGATGTTTTTTTCTGGAGAAGCTGCTGGAAAGACCTAACCTCATATAAAACAAAATCACATAACATATTATTATTGACAGGAGCAGAACACAACAAATACATATCTGTATTTAAACACATCATGATCTGTTATTGTAGATAATATGCTCTGGTTAGGTTAAGATAGAAAGCGCATTCTCACAATTCATCATTTTCTTATTTTTCCTGGTGTAACTTGGACATGGAAGAACATTTCAATCACCAGACCAGGGCGGGCATCACTTATATAGTGTCAAATCTTACTCTTAAAGCATTAGAGATAATTAAACTTTCTGTATGGTAAAAAATATCTAATCTAAGGCACGAAGTGTGAAGTATTAAGTCCCACTGAATATACAGTTCATATATAGTAACTGATCACATTTAAGTGTAAGTGGGAGTAAATTGGCACCGGGATAGAATCTACGAGGGCGTTATTGTAGACATTGCACATTACCCTCTTCATTTGCATTAAAATGTAAATTGAAAGCAAAATGTAAAAATTAAATGTCCGAACACTGACGCTATAAAAGTAAAAGCATCACAGAAGATAACTTTTTATTCTCAGTGATTTTAGCCACAGATGTTTCAGCAGCAGCATCAAAAGATTCTCTTCAGCTGTGGAAAGCTTTCTCTTTTTCTTTTCTCCTGCAATTGCTCGACCACGATGATTTTCCATTGATTTTAATTAAGACTCGCTCAGCAGGAGAAAATTCCAGCCAGATTACTGTGTAAGCACATTTTTCCAGCCCAACAGATAAAGCCTGCTGCAGTGAAAACTGAGTTACACAACCGGATCTTAATGTTTAGAAACATAAAAACCAAACAGCAGCACATCACGTCATCAAAGAAAACTGAATGTCTCTTACATTATAGATATTTGAAATATAAATGAAACAGAGTGGGTTAAAGAGATACTCTCATGAGTTCTGTGTTAATGTCACACTCTTTAATGGAAATCTCATTACTCATGGGAATTATAGCTGTGTTCAAATGGACCATTATACTGTAAATTATATTTTCTAGCATGAGATGAGAATTTAAGCAACAACTAAGTGTGGGGAACTAATAATAGTATTATTCGTTTAAAATGGAGATGTAAAATATTGAGCTGCATCTGCCTCTTTGTGTTTTTATACTCAAACAAGTAAAATTGAATAAACATTTGATACTTACATTCTGATTCTTGTCTTGGAAATGAATTATCAATTTGTCATGAAAACATGGGGTCCTAGAAATGTGGTCCTGAAACTGCACCCTCTGGTATTGCTGGACATCCACACTCATAAAACCATAAAACTGGTGAATATGAATAGCAACAGAGATAAATCATGTCTGCCACTGCTTTGCATATGAATGATTTGCTGCTATAATATAATATAAAGAGTGTGTACTGTGGATTTATATTGAAGTTGAACAGTTGAATACTATGTGTGTTATCATAAAGCAGAGAGAAAAAAGGAAGCTAATCTTACTAACTGTGACACAGTTCTCCCTTCAGTCGTGGAGTTGTCAGACTCAATTTGTCCCTGAGCAGAAAATGCGTCTCTCGGCTGAGAGGCAAATTATTCCTCCCAGTCACTGAAGCAGGACTGTAATAAAATAACAAAACAGACATACAAGAACAATATGACTTGATCTGCTGGTGATTGGTAGCAAATGGGTAGATTTTTATTTAAGAGCTTTACATCATCATTTTACAGCTGATGTTATTACAGGCATGTGTATTCAGATGTGTTCTAAGTGAGATGTGTCTGTGTTGTGCAGTTGAAGTTAAAGTGGAACTCTCTCTCCTGGAAAAAGAAAAAGAGGTGGACGGGCTGTCACCCAACGGGAAAGCGAGTCCCTTTGCTGACTGCAGACCGAACGGGGCCCTGGGACACGGCTCTGATGACGACTCCACCCCGCTCCCCCCCTACCACAAGCCACGCGACTACGTGGAGGCCTCAGTCTGTCATGTTAAGGATCTGGAAAATGGACAGTAAGAAAATGAAAAATATGCAACTTTTTCTCAGTACACACAGGTTACACAGTCCCACACACACATGCATGCAGGGGTAAATAAACTGTTGTGCACAGCTAGGATGTCAATCACACAAACATCCAAAATTTCTCAAGAAAAGTGCTCATGTCTTTAAGGAACAGTTCATTCATAAAC